TTCAGTTTCCCTGCCCTTGAATTTACCTTCTCATCTTTGTTTTCAAATGATGATGTTTAGTTTTTGTATAAGGAGCAGATACAACCTGAGGATGGTTGAGTCTGACTTCTACCTGCTTCATAAAGGGAACATGTCCCATTAATAATAACCATAGCATCAAATAGATAGCTTCTTGGTCAAACACACCCCCCATATGCTCCTGATCCTCTCTCTACCAATTATTCAGGTTTGATATTCATTGTTGACTTAAAGGCTTTACTCACAGTATGTATGGTACTGAGAGTAAGGTTTATTAGGGAAATAGGTTGGGGAGTTGAGGAGTCAAAGAATATCATACAATGTTAGTCCAGCAGTCCCAAACCAGATAAACAGCAAGGTGAAATTTCTTAATTAGCTAAAGTCCAGATTTAATTCATCAATACAAATGCAAGAAGCCTCTTGTTTCCTTTATCATAAGCAAACATTGTCTCTTAGCAGTTCAGCAGTCAGCTTTTCCTTCAGTGATCCAGCAAGCAAAACCTTTAATTTAGGGTTTCTTTGGTTTCACTTTGCCACAATCTTTTCACAGCCATGCCACAGTATTTCCTTTCTCCATCACTGACACCAAGGTCTTGCTCTACAGTGTGGAAAACACTCTCTCTCACTCTTATATTAGTTCCACAGTTGTTGATGATTCACAAGACCTATGTCCACAGTTAAGATAGCTGGAAACCAGCAGGGACTAATGTAATGGCTAGAAATTCCAACTTAGAAACCAACAGCATACATATGTGGTTCAATTCCATCAGCAGTTCATGGGGAGAAGGATGAGCGGTCTCTTCCTGCATAAGTAACTGTCTTAGGAAACCCATTGGAGTGTCAGTTATGGGTCAGTTCCAACTGGATGGCACAAAATAACAAAACAACAACAATCATGTTAGATGATTTTGTTAAAGAAGCGTTGAGGACGATCTTGATTTTGTGGGTCAACTTGTTATTTAGCTGAAAAGGACCTCAGGATGTTTTAAATTGAAGGTTTAAAGACTACTTAAATGTAAGAATTTTGAGGAGTTCTCTAAGTCACTTTGTCTAGTAAATATGGATTTTATTTTCAAGAATTTAAAACTATATTAAAAATTTTTCTTTACGTTCATCAGTTGTGATGTAATGTGATCTTGGGAAGAATAGTTGATAATCATAGCTGGCACTATTATTTTTTTTTTTTAGTCTCTATAAATAAGGCCATGGTTCTACACTCTTCTAGGCTAATTTCTTTTTTAATTCATGTGTTTCTTTCTTTCTTTACTATATTAGATGGGTAAGAAACAATAATTGTGTTTTAGCTGATCATTTGCAGTCCTTCAAGTTATCTGACACTACTTATCTAACTAGAATATAGAACATAAATTTTTTTACTATATTATTCCAGTTGACTAAGTTTCCCACAAGATTATGGTTTTAAGCTTTTAAACCCAGGAAATTAATCTTACAAAATATTTAGTTATGTCTAAAAATGTTCTGTGATTGTACCCTCATCTGTGCTGTTGAGCCAGAACCAAATCATAGCTGACTCTTCAGTGGATTTTCAGATGCACTAAATCACAAGAGACCAGGAGGTTGTGAACAGAGGAGGGTAGCACTGCATGGTTTGAAATTGGGAAGGAGGTACACCAGGGTTGTATTATTTCTCCATGTCTATTCAGTCTGTATGCTGAGCAAATTATCTAAGAAGCTGGACTCTGTGAGGTGGAGTGTGGCATCAGGATTGAACAAAGATTCATCAATAACCTGCATTATGCAGATGACACACTCTTGCTTGCTGAAAGTGAGGAGGGCTTGAAGCTCTTGTTCCGGAAGATCAAAGAATGCAGCCTTTGGTATGGATTATAATTCATTGTCAGGAAAACAAAGATTCTTACCACTGGACCTATAGGCAATGTCATGATGGATGAAAAGGAGATTGAGACTGTCAGCAGCTATATCTTGCTTGGATCCACAATTAAAACCCTTGGTATGGGCAGTCAGGAAATTAGGAGACACATTGCACTGGGAATATTTACAGTTAGGGACCTGTCCAAATTATTGAGGAGTAGTGATGTCAGTTTGAAGACTAAGGTGCATCTGATTCAGGTCATGGTCTTTCTGATCACTAGCTATGTGTCTGAGAGCTGGACAATGAATAAAGATGACAGAAAAAGAACTGATGGGCTAGAACAGAGTTCAGATCTTTTATTTATAGGTTCACAGTGACTCTTGCCCGACTCAACGGCACCTAACAATAACAACAACAACAATTCAGTCTATGACATTGAGCATGCATATTTAATTTCATGAGGTCCCAAGTATCTAATTGGTCTTCTGCTACTTGTGCATTTGTAGTTGTATTTGGTAATCCTCTTTTTTAGAATTTGGTATTTTAAAAATTAGATCATTTTGCCCACTAATGCTTAGTCAGTATTGGAAGCACTTTCAGGGTTGCTGCTGCACAGATACTACCTTTGTAAACCCATATAATTAGACTGACTAAAATCTTCAGTAAAATGCTCTTTCACTTGCATGCTTATATATGGACTCAGAAGCAGATACTCTTTATCTAATACAGTTTGAAGCATAATAGTCACAACCACATTGATGCTATTTACCAAATGTGTCTTGCAATTAACAAGCATTCAGACCTTTTATTTTTTTCCTTATTCAATTTTTTAAAATTTTAATTGTGATTTTAATGAAAGTTTATAGAGAACTTGAATTTCCATTTATTCATTGTTACACATTTTCCTC